CAAATACTATTTATTTTGATATTGAAAAGTATAGATTGTATAGAACAATTAAATATTCTTATTTATACTCTAAGCGCGTTCATTTGTTCAAATTAAATTGTAAATTTTATTACAATAAATTAATACTACTACCAAATTTGTATCACGTATCATTGCAAAATGCGGCCAAAATATAAAAAAAGTAAGCGAATTAGTGTGTACTATACTATAGTTTAGACGAAATCATGTGATGATAATCATCACCTGTCATAAAATACCAAGACTAACTAGTTTTTATTAAATAATGATATGTGATATTTAGCATCACATGGTTTCGTCTAACAACTATACTGTGTACTCTACTCTAAACATATATTTACATTTACTAAAAACTTTACTTTTAGCATTCCGAAGAACAAAGTGTTATTATTGTAGAGAGAAGGGACATAAGTGGATCAACTGTTTTTATATTAACTGTAATAGTGGTCGTAATTGTGTTATTAAAGGACAAGACTGGAAATTTGCGGGTAGTTATTGTGACACATGTGGAGAACGTGCAGAGGATCATCATGTCCATAATTATTGCACTCATTGCAAGTTATCATTATTAAATGGAAGATGTACTAGTGATAAACATAATTCGGCCGGTAAAAAAGCGGTTATCGGATACGACCGGAGTAAAATCGCCACCAAAAAGCTTCGGCGTCACGTGACAATTATATATTGAGTACCAAAAAGTCATTTAACTTGAATTGAGTATTACAACATACAATATAGTAGTAACTTTGTAAAATTTTTGACTAAATATAAGCATTGCCTACTAAGCAATTCATTATCGTTTATTACTAATTAAAATTTTATTCTGTGTAAAATTGAATTGAGCGGAAATAGAATTAACTTTAATTCAAATATTGTGTCACTAAAAAAAGCATAAGATCAAATTAAAAATTTCATTCATTTTGTTGTCTAAAATAAAAAATACGCTTTCAAAGTAATGATTAATAAATGTAAAAATGCGAAAAATTTTTGTTCGTCAATATTTATTTTATTGTAGGGTAAAAATAAAAATGAACATTAAATTTGATCAAGCTTTTATTTATGTAAATTAAATTGCTAACTCGTATATTACAAGATATTAAAATGTCCGATTTGTCCCAAAATCCCAACTGGTTTCATAGTGACTTGCTTAAAATTTTTGTATTAAACATACTAAAAAATTCCAAAGATGTTAAAATCCGCGGCATAAATATAGAACAGTATCCATGTCAAGGCTGTAACAGAGAAATTTTTTCTTTTCATCCAATTATTCTACTGTCCTGTGGACATGCATTTCACCTAACATGCGTTAATTTTAATTTGGACCCACCAATTTGTCCTAAATGTCCAGTTCAAAGTGAAGTGCATGTTGAAGAAATTGAAATAACACCTAAACGTAAGAAAAAAACAACGCAATTTAAAGATTCTCTAAAATTTAAAACACTTGTTAATGAATTATTGAATGAGGTGGCCGTACAAAACACTGCACAATCTCTTACTGAGTCTAACACTATATCATCTATTGAAGCTCTTTATAAAAAAATTTCCATTGCCGAAGAAAATCATAATAGATCAATTCATGAGGTACTTAGGCGTTACTATAATCTTGGAGAGGCTTTATCACACTTATATGATAACTTCTATAATGCATCACACGATCGTTTTTCTTCAAAACAACAAGTGATTCAGGAATTTAAGCGACAGCTAAATATTAATACTTTAGATATGGCACTTAGTAAAAGAAAAGAACGGAGCGAAAAGATCTATAGTCTTTTTAGTTGTTTTAATACAGACGAAAATAAATTTAAAGGCAAAGAAATGATAAATCGGATTAGATCTTTTTCTTTGTCAACAATTTCAAGTTTGAGTTGGGATAATATTAACATAGTAAAAAAATGTATCACCGAAAAACTTAACATACGCAATAGAATAGAATACAATTATAATAGATCTAATTCCAATAGAAGGGATTATAATTATTTTTGATTATTATTCATAAATGTTTGTGCAGTAGTACAGTACCAGATTTTATGGTGATAGGGTGAAATACCCATTGACATGCATGTCAAATTGTTAATTAAATTTTTTTTGACCAATAAAATTTTAGAATCAGCATCGTAAATTCCTATATTCTAAGTAAAAAGTTGCGTATAAAACTAAAGCCGCGTTATAATTAGGGTCAGGTGAGAAAAACTAGGGTTAGGGTTGTTTTATTAGTAAAATTTCACGAGGAACATTTTTAATTAGGCCGCAGAAGGTGGTTTCCTAATTATTTTGTTTCGCTTCGATTTTTACGTTACATCTGATCCTGAAATTCGATTGGGCAATATTACAGGGGTGAACAATTTTTTGTGGGATATCTAGGGCTTTTATAATATCGATTTGAAATCAATTTTTCGTGTAAAATACTGTGCAAATTCTAGACCATTTTTTAAATAATATGTAGGATACTTTTTAATTTCGATAAAATATATTTTTGTTACATTCGCGTCAATAATAAAAAGAAACTATTATTGTTTGTTTATAAATATATATCTAAATGTTTTTTTTTTTTGCTTTTCAGAAAATAATGGATATATATTTGAATAAAATTTTTATAGGATTGATAAAGATGAAAATCGAAAAGCAACAAAGATTTCTATAACAAAGCTACACAAACCACCACGATTTGGAATTTTCTAATATATGTCTTAGATAGAGATTTGACCCGTTATTCACTGAATATAAATTTATTAATAAATCTATTGAATATTCACTGGATTTTATTAATAAATTTAGATTCAGTGAATAACGGGTCACATCTCTAGTCTTAGATAACATATATATGTTTATCTATATTTAATAATCTGAAATACTTCAAAGTAATCGATTAAATAATTTTTCTCATCAAGTCCTATACTTTCATAATAGTTTCTGTTATTTTTAACTTGCCAGTTATTGTTGTATGGAATATATAAATCATAATAACCAAATTGAGTGCCTTCTGGACGACAGGAGATTGCTGTGAAGGCATAATTTGATTTAACCCTACCTAATCGCATATTTTTATCTTTACTACTACCGGTAAATATAAAACTATCATTTGTTCCTTTATAAGTTTCCATTGACCAATTTAAAGGGTTATAACCTCCAATAAAGCTATCTTCATTTTTTAACTTTCCAATCACGATTGTAGCACCTTTATTATTGCAAGAACTGTGTAATTGCTCAGCTTTGATTACATTTTTTCTTAATAATAAACTAAAGTTGTGCCTGTAATTTGTTGTACCTTGTCTATCAATCCACTGCATTAACTTTATGAGTTGTTCTTTTCGTATGATCTTTGAGTCGATATTTATATTGCCATAACGAATAAAATTTTTCTTATCTTTTAAATTCGAAAAAGTACCAACTACTTTTAAAATGGCTGGGTTAATACTTTCTTCTTTTAAATTCACATACAACGTTTTAAAACCATCATTAGTTATTTGATCGAAGCGAATATATTTTAATAATATATTATAGTATTCATTCAAATCTTTCAAATCCCTGCCGTTTAACCATAAAATTACTTTTTCAAGAATTTCAGTTTCTTTTATATCTAAATTGTCATTTGATATAAAAAGTTTCAAATATTGAATAGGTATAGTTTGAAAATTTTCTGCTGAAAAAAATAATTTAGGTTTATGAAATATAGAGATTTGACCCGTTATTCACTGAATATAAATTTATTAATAAATCTATTGAATATTCACTGGATTTTATTAATA